TTTCTGTGCCGCCACGTGGATATTCTCCGTCGGCTCTAACGATGCAACGTGTGCGATGATGACTCGGCTCGAATCGAAGCTTCGACAATCGTTTCGTCGACGAAATTTTTCAGGGAGAGTCCCCGTCCAATTGGTTCCTCATTCATGTTTTTGCGTTATTTGATACATTTAACTTCGAAATTTGTTTCAAAGATACTCGACTCGAATTGGACGAGAATTTTTCAGTAAAATCGTTCAGTAAATTCTAGATATAACGTCTCACGTGATTTAATTGAAAACCTCAGAGCTGACTGCGAAAACGCGTAAAAACGCGTCGTCCGTCTGCACACCGATCTCAATGTCCATAACTAATTCACCATGCATCCCCGGGGACCCGAACACCGAACGTTACTTAAGCCAGGAATGCGGAAGCGAAAGAATTCGCGCGGTTTCGTTGGTTTAGCGCGGCGCGAAGTTGGCGAAATGCGACGGGACGAAGCCGCATTCTCGCGTGACGCCAGCACGCGTTTCAGCACCATCTCGGCGCTTCTTTTTTCCCGAGACGAAAGTTACGCTGCACTCTTCTCTCGCTCGAAGAGAAAAGCATTTCCAACCGCGACGATACTCCGTATCATTTACGCGCGCGTGAACGGCGCGTCTCGAGATAAATTTCTCCCTTAGTCTGCGATTCTTTGACGACTTTTCTTCATATTCGCCGTTTCATCCCGATCAAGTGGGTTACCGAGTGGGTTTACTCGGGACGTCATTCGCGCGATTCTCCATTCGGGGAAAGTTAAATTCGGAACTGGAATAATAAATGCTGTCTCGCTTGCGCGGAGATAGAAGAAAGCGCGTTTGTTCGCGAGTGAATTTTCGAATGAATAATATCAACGATATCCGTTGATCTAAATAAGAGATACTAATGCAAAACTTGAGAATACGAGAGAGAGAGAGAGAGAGAGAGAGAGAGAGAGAGAGAGAAGCATTTCTTGGAAATGCATACGCGTTTGTTGGCGGAATGGAATTGGTCAACTTGACCAATTGATCACGACCATTCCACTCGTTATTTATAGCTATCTTGGTAATGATTAGTTCAATAGGAACTTCCTCCGTATTACCTGTGACCTCTCTCTTTCTCTCTCCTCTTCTCTCTCTCTCTCTTTTCTTCCAATTCTACCATTTCGCGATCGGAATGGGCGTTCATTGTGAAAACGTGCTACATTGTTACGCGACACACATTGTCACGATGGGCATTTATGGCGCGTACGACCGGAAAACAAGAAATGCGCATAAGTGAAGAGGGAAAAAGAAATGTATCGCTGATTGAATGGAAAATGTATCGATAGGATCGTTGAATTAAAGCCAAAGAGAGCTACGTTAGATCATATAAAGTTTGCTCAAGGCGCTCTTTCTCTCTCTCTCTCTCTCTCTCTCTCTCTCTCTCTCTCTCTCTCTCTCTCTCTCTCTCTCT